CTTGCGCTACCTCTCACTGTACTTGCGCTACCTCTCACTGTACTTGCGCTACCTCTCACTGTACTTGCGCTACCTCTCACTGTACTTGCGGTACCTCTCACTGTACTTGCGCTACCTCTCACTGTACTTGCGCTACTTCTCATTGTACTTGCACTACCTCTCACTGTACTTGCGCTACCTCTCACTGTACTTGCGCTACCTCTCACTGTACTTGCGCTACCTCTCATTGTACTTGCGCTACCTCTCACTGTACTTGCACTACCTCTCATTGTACTTGCGCTACCTCTCATTGTACTTGCGCTACCTTTCACTGGCTTAGTACGCATCTAAGTCAGTGGTTAATTATATTCTATCAGGTATCATCAAACGCATTTGATTGGTTAATAGTCATTAATGGTAGCGGTAGCGGTAATAGAAATCAAATCTGAATCTCTCTAATATTTTTCTTGATATGCTCAGCCGGCTCATCGAGCAATAATTGTTTATTAATATTATTATTTGGCGACACAGGTTATGTGGTGGTTTGTTTGTCCAGTTTCGTATATAAAGCTCAAAATTTGTTTGGTGTACCTTAATAAAATTTGGATGCTGTGCGGAATGTCTCGCAATATAATGAATAACATCTTCTTGATTCATTCTTTCAGCCAATTGTAAAACAGTTTCACCTCTCTTATCACGAGCCAGTACTAATCCTCCATGTTCGGTGAGTAATTCAAGACATCTCAAATGTCCTTTGGCTGCAGCCAAATGCATCGCTGTACCAAATGGTGATTGTCTACAAAAACAAACTTTAAAATTTAATAACAAAATAAATTATCACAAAATAACATATGCAATGAATTATGACTTCAGATTAAAAGGCTATTTTCAAGCGCGCGTGGGAGTGTTTTATCATATTTAAAATGCTCGTACTGCGCACTCGCATTTTAAATATGATAAAACACGACTACAAGGGCTTTAAACGACTTTTAAAAACACGACTACAATCGATGCAGTTTCATTAGTACTCTTTATAAAAAGAATAGTACTTTATGTGAAGAATACTAATGAAACCATGAATTATTGAGTGTTTTATGTACTAGTTAAAATATGAGCATCTGACCTTTATGAATTATGGGGGATAATCTCATGCTTCATTATAGCATGTATTTAAAATCTGAATTAGTATTGAGAACTTTCATAAACATCTCTGTCCCTGGATTAGTATTCACAACTTTCATATACATGCCTGTTTGGGTTAGCACCTCTCTTTAACAGTTCTTCCACACAGTCGTCCTGGCCATGTTTTGCTGCTAAATGAAGCGCTGTTAAATACTTCTCATCACGTTTCTCCACATCAGCTGATGATCCATCGAGCACCATTTTACGTAGATTGCCAATTTCAACTCTTTTCGCTCTAGAAAAACACTTTTGAAAAAACGCCAACGGCATGGTGGACGTGTAATTTTCGTTCACAAACTAGCTAAGACATTTGAAAACTTGAACTTTCAGTAACAATTGATACGTCATATAATTATCTCGACATTTGAAGCGCGCGCTAGCCTTAATCTGCATGTAAACGTTCTAGTCATAGAAAGGAACGCTCCTCTTGTTAGAACGCTTGGTTGCCGCAGAGGGGTTGCGTGGGGCCAGGGGCAAAAACTTTCCAAGGGAGAAGCGGTGTTTTACAATATATTATACTTTATTACATATAATCGGACACTAGCGCAGCTATAGGATTTATATTCTCAGTTAAGCAATCTTGAATCAAAAAATTTTAAGGACCTTCGTTGCCCCTTTTGAGCTGGGGGCCCGGGGGCAAAATGCCCCTCCCCCCGCCCTCTCTCGACGGCCCTGTATCACTGTCTTAATTTGATGACTTCGCGTGGTGTGTGATTTACTGAATTCTGTTATGACATAATAGGAACTGTGGTATATGGGTACGGCTTCTGTATACTATCGACAGACCACTGGCATGTATTGTATATTAAAAATGCACTATTTGTTCTTAACGTCTTTGAATTGCAAGGCACGGGACAGACTGAACGTGCGGACAAATGTGAAACGATGAATTTGAGCCAATAACGCAGAACCAGCTAGGTAAGAACGATAAGAACCGTTTTCTGGTTGTTTAGGGAGATAGGGTGTGGTCATGTTAATATTGATCATGCAGTACTGACCTCTATAATGGCGGAATCTGCCAAAATTTCACCATCTTGGCCGGCACTTTTATTGGCTGAGCAAACAGTGGCAAATTGATTTTTTTTTTGTAAATCGTACCCAAAAACAAAACATGAAGAACAAGATAACAGCTTATATAATTGTATTTAAGTTAACAATATATTAAACACGCTCTCTTTTAAAGTTTACTATAACTTGTTACAGATCAATCTAGAAATATACTTGAGCACAAATAAATTAGCTATATTAACATCTTATACGTCCAACTAAGGTTGTCCTCTAAAGATTCAAAACTCGAAATCAAAATAAGCGCGAACAGCACAAGACTTCAAGCTAGAGCAATTATAATCAAAAGACTATACAAGTACAATGAGCTGTTCACACTTTGAGGTCAAGGTTTTGTGGTTGTACGTTTTGTCACCAGAAAACAACTTTTGATTGATGGCTGTATATGTAGAGACGCACTTTCATGGTATACTGTAGGTTCGCAAAGAATTATAGTTAAAACGAATTGCACAGGTTAACGGCAGGGGTTAATGAAATTCAATGAAACCAATATTTGTATTTGGATCTATACATGTTTAACTTGCGTGTTACTGCTCAAAACAGACAGCATCCTCGTGTTTGTTTTATTGGTATTTCTCATGGGAACTACAGCGTAAGTCGGAAACGGTCTGATGTCACGACGAAAAGTGGGCGTCTTTATGTAAAGAATCGTCAAAATACAGTGTACAATGAAACAATAAAGCTCTACTAACACGGCCACACAACTGCATCAACTTAACTGACTATACATAACCTGGTTGCCACTCAATGCACAATTCCCGTATTGTTTATATAGTTGTCTTTTGGGATGATTAGAAAAAAGTCTATGTTTAACTGTCACACTTGTACATAACCAACCGTTAAACGTCTTTCTTTCCGTTTAGGCCGCTTTGATGGCATGCATGTATTCTGAAATGCGCAAACAACAAATAAAACAAAAGAAGTGAATTGGGTGGCAACCAGCTTGTGTGCGGTGGATTTCCATTTCATCCATGGTGTTTTTCGTACGTGGTGTTTTATCGTTTACATCGGTATTAGTGACGTTTTATAGTATCTGCGTATTATGAAACGACTGGAATGATCCCTTTGAGCCCGATTTACACAACGAAAACTAACCTGGGTTTGCGCCGGGTCAACTCAAACGAGTTTTTTGAAGTGTATAAATGTGTATAATCCAGATTCGACTCGGGTAAGTTCGAACTGTAGTAGGGTTCAAACTAACTTAGATCGAATTCGGGGCATTCAAACCTGGATTAGATTTAAGCCGAGGCGAGCCCGGGATAGTTTCCGGGGTTTAAATCGGGCTTTAGGTAAATATATGGTTGGCCGTGTGACCAACTTGCAGTATTAAATTCCTGCCATAATATGCGAAAAAATGTACATGATAAATAAAATAAACAAAAATGTTTCTGACTAGGAAGTTAGTTTCAAAGACGTTTGTCACCTTAACCGGTTTTATATACCGTGGTAGAATACGTTGCAATGGCCAAAGCTCAATTTTCAGGCTCATCATGGGCATCTCCATTCACTAGAGCGGATCCTTCTGTTATAAAGAAACATTAAGTTATAGTTCAGAATTGTTCTCGTATATTCATGCATGCAATCCACAGGGGTTGGAAGCTTAAAGCCGCGTGCAGGGATCTTGAAGGGTAGGTGAAAGATCTTTCATATTTTATTAAATGACAAAAATATATATAATTGTCTATTTCCAGGGATAACAAAATGAACGACATGAAATAAACGAATGTCATATTTTCTGGGAAGCAGATATGGACGTACTTATAGTCATCGTGCACAAGAGTTGTTCCCAGGCTGATAGTTCTTCGAAATTTAGGGCGTTTTCCACAAGACGTAACAGAATTAATGGTAAATCTGACATCAAATTTGCTAATATGGTAAAATATACATTATTGTACAAATTCGAAGGCGTGCATGCGCTCATACAATTCAGTGTGGCAGACGGCATGCTCTAAAATGTCAGTGCTTATATTCGTTAAATACCTGGTTCTGGGACAACGTTGGGATCTCCAGCAAGTTCTAAATAAGACAGAATATCTTACAGTAAGATTGAAACCTCTTTCTTGTGCATGAGAACAATTGTAACTTAATGGCTCGTTTACACTTGCAATTTGTGTTGCGATTTTTAGTGCGATTTTCATGTGAATGAGTAGAGGAGTTACGAATGTTCGGAGCACATATATCCTCCACGTGCCAAACACGAAGAAAGCCACAAAATGTTTTAAAATTTTCTTTCTTTTCTTTTAAAGCTATTTCTAATGCATAAAATTACTAAAGCGTGTAAATACTGTTTTGTTTACAACTATTATGAAAGCTGAAATACAAATTGTTTTAAAAAAGATTTTCGTTGTTTTTTGGTCATTCTGTTTTGTCATGGTCATTTTTGTTTTGCTGTGGTATATGCTAGAACAATTATTCACCTCAGTGTCAGTGAAGAGTACAAGGATATTTACCTCAGTGTCAGTGAATACTAGAAGGATATTCACCTCAATACTTCGCGTTTCGGTGAATATCATTGCACTATTCACCTTCACTTTGGTGAATAATTGTCAAATATTATGTATGTTATTTTATTATGTACATTTGAATATTTACATTTTAGGCACCTATTATGAAGAATACCATGCTGCTGGATGTTCGCTTGAGGAATGGCATACGAGACAAATTTACGACAAATGACAATGAGTACATGAATAAAAGTTTAAAAAACATGTCAATTATAAAGCTTCAGATTTGCCCAAATTTATAAAGGATGCTGAGGAATTTGTCAGGGCAGACCAAGTTGTTATCGAGGCGGCTTTTGCTGGCACAGGTGAGTATCGTTTCGTCGAAGGTTATGAAACATTCAACGTGGGATCGAAGTGGTGGAGCTTTTCTCCGGTAAAGCGCGTCGCCCATTTCAATCGGTTCCTGGAGGCATGCAAATGCGGACCGTCCACCCAAATTTGCAGTGCCATACAACAAATTACCCAATCATCAGCAGAGAGCTCGGACGTCGGTGTTTCTCCGAATAACTCTATCGCCGTAAGGACGGAAAACTCATTTTTGATGCCTGCAGTGAACATCGCAGATGATGTATTGGAAGGGTTACTAAATAAAGCCGAGAAACTTGTCCAGGAGAATCTTGTGTCAGATATTAAGGGAAAAGGTAATAAGCAAGTTGCAATTGCTAGTCACTCGGACGTGTACCCGAGGATCGTTGTTCGAGAGGACCGCAAATGTAGAGGTGAAAACGTGGTGGAATTGAAATGCGGTCCAGGTAAAGGTTGCCTGAATTTTTCTACACATGGCATGTGCTCCCATACCCAGGCAGCAGCTGTTGCGTAGGACGTCAAACTGGAGTATTGGAAATTTTTGGAAACCTCCAAAAAAATCAGCACAAGTCTGCAGAATCTGTCACGGCATGGTTTGCCTAATGGATCTGGGAAAAAAGACAACCAAATTAAACGGGGCAGGACCAAACGACAAAAAAACTCATCCCAAACATCGTCCCTTGCCATCAATAGCACTACTATTCTAGTACTCATCATGCTATGTTGCCACGACAACAGAGAAAGCGTTTTCACATATCAATGATGGCAGCGGTAGAAAAAGTCAACCAAGCGGCGCTCATCAGAACTATTTTTACCCAGACAAAGGTTTGGGTCACCATGATCTTAAATGGGCTGAAACATTTAGAGGAGTTAGTCAACGAACAAAGTGGTGGAAATTCACTTTTTCTGGGGGGGGAGGCAAAGCCTTCTAAATTTCCGACAAAACCTTCAAATTTCCGACAATCCCCAAGGCTGTTTTTAGCCCTCTTTGAGATCAAAATCTCCTGAAATTCGTCAATTTTTCGTAAAGATGGGCGGGGGGCGGTCGCCACCCCACCCCACCGAACTACAATCTTGTCTGACAGTTACGTTGAAAACCTACATGCGATAGGTCACTTCAAGAACCATTTTGCTACCGCTTTGCAGTACGCACAGAATCTGGCGAACACCGTATACGAAAGCATTAAGCGTGTGGTTCTCTGGAGTGCCTACTACTACACCCACAGTGAATCAAATTATCCTGTGCTGCGCCAGAGCACTCCTTTAAATGCCATTCCCAAACTAGACCATATCAAGGCTCAGAGGCAATTGAATCGGCGAGAAAAAGAGCTTATTGTTTGATTGGACGACAACAAACAAAAAACCTGTACGGCAGAGAAATGTGAAGCCACTATGTTTAAGGCTGGGACATTGCCATTGGACATGTACAGGTCATCAGACCATCCGAAAGATAAAGTGTCGTTTGACACTGATGCGGTCGAAAAGAAGCCGGTTATGTTTGTTAAGTCTGCTTCAACCATAACGTCACACGAAAAAGACGATGAAGTTGAGGTAAGAGTTGAAGAAGACGAGGAAGTCGGGGAAGACTACGACGCAGACGATTCAGATTCCGATCATGCTACGGTTGACAGTGGCGAAAGTAATTCACTGGGCAGTTTAACGTTTCTTCGGGTCGTCACTACTATACACGTAGTGGACGAACGGTACGAGTTTGTCTATCGAATGACGAAAGTGACAAATGTTGATATAAGTATGACATTTCCAATACACATGTAGTTATGTCGACTTTACTTTCTTAAAACACTTTTCTTTCTGTAAAAGGCAGGATTAAAGAACATGTTACTTGCTCTTACTTGCCTATTTTCGTGATTCGGGGAAATGAAATTATAACATCCGTGATTCGTGATCTATGACTTTTTCAGCCCGTGAACTGTGCCAGAGACCCCCCTGTACGACCCTCTTCATTCATATTTGTGATTGATGTTTCAAGCGGATATTTTTAGCATGCAGCATATTCGCAATATTCGCGTATTCGTAGTGCTATAGCACATTTAATGTTGGATTGCATCATACTACACTACACTATAATTACTTTAGCGCACAATTGCCTCATAATTCAGCGCAATCTGCTTTGCGTGCCGTGGTTTCCTTCTCAGTCTGCCGGCATTTCATAATCGTAGTAAGTACGGCGGCTAAATAAACAAAGTGTGTCATATGCAGTCAATCATATCAAAACAGACAAATGTTTTACTTCGTAATATAGTGCTACAACGATGTTCATTCTTTGTTTTAAAAAAATCAAAATGCTTTGCATTTAATATTTTATACTATCTTTGAATTGTGCCCGCCCCCTCTGTAAATTATTATCATGTATATCTCCTGTGGTGCAAAATGTTCTAATTTGCATAAATTATGCACGGTTCCAGGTTCCGGTTCCAGGTTCCGGTTCCTGTATCGTTGTATCGCTGTATCGCTTTTTAGTAGTAACCATTTATGATATAAACTATTGTTATTTTCGTAATGGATACCGATATATCGAGTGATGGCATACACTAACCAAAAAATAACGAATGTATTAATTGAGAATTAAGCGTTGAATTCTTTAATCTTTATCTGGAATCGGAAATCGCTTCGTCTTGAAGAATGAACAACGAATATCAATCCAACATTTGTTGCTTGAGAGATGTGATACCGTGATAAAACATAGGTGGCCCAAACACACTGTGCGATTTAAATGCTTGGCATACTTAATTATCTCCTGCGGTTTCGACCTCAAAATAATAATGTTAACGATTAGATCGAAAATATTCTGAATTTTTACACTGAAATGTATCACTAATCAATACTTATTGTTGAAGGAAATATACTTAGGTACATAGCATGCATCAGCAAAAATAAATAGTTTATACCTTTAGTAGAAGCGCTTGAAATCCAGCTTTAAAATCATGACACTCACGGCGACGCGGCGGAGGAGGGGAAAGGTCTGAGTGTCATGATTTTAAAGCTGGATTTCAAGCGCTTCTACTAAAGGTATAAACTATTTATTTTTGCTGATGCATGCTATGTACCTAAGTATATTTCCTTCAACAATAAGTATTGATTAGTGATACATTTCAGTGTAAAAATTCAGAATATTTTCGATCTAATCGTTAACATTATTATTTTGAGGTCGAAACCGCAGGAGGTAATTAAGTATGCCAAGCATTTTTATCGCACAGTGTGTTTGGGCTACTATGTTAGTATGCAATTACATTTTGTTAATATAACCGTAAATGCAAGACTTATTAAAAATAGGCTGTTTTTTCTTTATGGCTTTAGTAGCTCCCAGTGTCAGTACGAGTTCCTTGGAAATATAACGCAATATCTGTACAAAAACAAGAAAACTATATACGAGTAATAATAGGACTAGCAGGACAATAAACTTAGCAGTACGCGCCTTTCACTTTGTAACACAAACATCACACATACTAAATTCTGGAGTTATACATTGCGCATTAATTATTAATACACTAATAAAGTGTGATGTTTCCTTGGAAGAGTATGCCTTATTGTAACTAGATGTTGCGCTCTTCGATGATTTTTTTGAGTTCCGAAAATCGTGAGATTTGGGGACTTAATCGTGGGATCGTGAGAAAGCATAAAAAATCGTGAGTCTCACGATTAAATCGTGAGACTTGGCAGGTCTGATAGCACTCAATGTAGATGACAATTTTCACATGACCATACGGCAGCAGAAATCATATTTTACGTGTCTACCAAGTTTTAAAAATAGAATACATTTTATTTTGAACAACTTCCTGTGGAAACTGTTGAGGTCATAAATTGTGCAATATGTCGAAATTTCAGTGAAATTTAATATCCATGAATTCGAGCTGTTTTCAACAATTCAACTCAATCTGAAACTAAAGATAGACACTGACTATCTAAGATCGCTTCGACCTCGGCTTCGACCTTTTTTCTTTCATCAAGGCAAATTCCATCTCAAATCGACGGCTAGTTGCCTATCCTGGTAATATTAACCGAAGTGACTGCGCGGTTTACTTTGGATGAATAAATCAAAGTTACAAGCATGCAAATTAAGAGAAGTTATATAGACTGACGTGGCAATAATTATTGATGCTTCTGTTGAATAACAAGATAGGCTGCTGTTTTTTCTATGAGACAAGATTTAACAATCGATTTCTTGGCTTGATTTGTATTTTGGTAATCGGACTGGTTCACACTGGAAACGCATTACGAGAAATGAAAGTAAAAATCCGAGCATGCTGCCGACTGGAATTGATTTTCAATTGACATATGGCATCGAAAATGACATCATACGTCACTGGTTATGAAGACGAACGATTTGAACATGTTGTTAGCCAGAGTTTTCACTGTATTATTTGTACGAATGTTTTCAAAGATCCAGTGATGTGTCGTCATAATGAGCATCTGTTCTGTAGAGCTTGTATCACCAGACATCTCATGAACTCTCAAACATGTCCGACGGGGTAGCAAATCTTCGAGTTAAGCCCCTCGAGTTAAGCCCTTCGAGTTAAGCCCCGACCACGCCCTTTCGAGTTAAGCCCCGACCACGCCCATGTCACGCCCATGCCACACCCATTTCCGTTGAGGGCTTAACTCGAAGTACATAATTGGAGTTAGGTACTTTGAGTTTAGCCCTCTAGAAAATAGGGGCTTAACTCGAGCAAAGTCAAACATTTTGTTCTTCGAGTTAAGCCCCAACGTTTGAAAGATGTAAACGAGTTACGGAAAATAAACAATATTCATTATTTTTAGTAAATAATGTTAAGTCAATAACAATTAATCAACATAAATGCTTTATTTGCGCCAGAAACGATTAGAACGCGTCGTCAACAATTTACATGGTGGGAAATAAACATAACAAGTATTAGAGCTTATATATATATATATATAGGATATTACACGGCGGCGCGGATATCAAAATCTAAGTTAGTCAATTATGAATACAATGATCTTTATTTCATTGCGATAGCTTTTATAGCTTTTAAGTTACATTAAATCAAACAGAGTCCAGTGTTTTCGGGACACCGGTATAAAATTTGATATTTTAAGATTGACCTTTACGGCAGGAAAGGTCAATGTTTATTTATTTATTTATTTATTTTGCCACAATAGATATATATATATATATATATATATATATATATATATATATATATATATATATATATATATATATATATATATATATATATATATATATATATATATATATATATATATATA